AGACCCTCACTGCCCAGCCACAGGAGACCCCCAACGCCCAGCCACAGGAGACCCCCAACACCCAGCCACAGGAGACCCTCACTGCCCAGCCACAGATGGATTCTGGAGCCCAGCTGGACTCCGTGGCCCAGCCACAGGCAAGCCCTGAGGCCCAGACCCCAGAACCCACTGCCAGCACCCATGACGAAGCCCCCGGCAGCCCAATCACAGACCCCACCCCAGAGGCCTCTGAAAACCCCGCTGCGGCTGCTGCCGCGGACAGAGAAAGCCCTCAGAGTGGCCTTCCAGAGGAGGCCGCGGGCACAGGCCCCACGTGAGGGGCAGGAATGCCCAGGCCCTGCGGGGCAGCGAAGAGACCGAGGGAGGCAGGAACCAGCCCCCGGCCATGGCTGAGGAGGAAGCAGTCATGGGAAGCCCACCAAGTGCCTCAGGCCTGACAGGAGGATGTGGGGGAACTGAAAATGAAGCCACCAACCCCCGAGTTTGCAAGCGCCACTGGGGCCTGGCCCCCCAGCTCTCCCAGGCCTGCTGCCTCCCACACACTCATTTGCAGGGACCCACCTGCCCCTGCACTTCACAGCCCATGGAGTACTCTGGAGTCTGCCCTGCAGCTACCCCCTGCCCCACCCTCCAACCTGCAAGGAGACTGGCCCCCCAGCGGCGGGACTGGGGGCTCACAGCTGGCCTGCACGGCCAATCGGCCAATCCTTCCTCCCAGGCCCCGTGGACGGACAGGCAGTGGGACAGGACAGTCTGGGGCAGCTGCCCTCAGCAAGGCGTGGTGGGGAGCGGATGAAAATACTGCTTTGGGGGCCCTGGACGAGCAGCTCCACCCCCTGAACTGGGGTCAGCTGCTGTGGTGCGGATTCATGAGGGCGTGCGGTGCCCAGAAGAAGCCTGGCACACAGCAGGCCCGATGCTCTTCCTGGAGCACAGGGATGTCCCTGCAGGGCTGGGTCTGCAGGGAAAGGCAGGTCAGTGCTGGGCCCTGGGCTGTGGCACCCAGGTGGCCTGAGGGCAGCTCAGCACTTCGGGTACTTCAAGGTCAGCTCCTGAAAGGCTTCAAATGCGGGCCACCTGCTCCCGGCCCTGGGGACACAGGTGGGAGGATGTGTAAGCTGTGGGGCCCCAGAAAGGGCAGGCGCTGCCCCACCCAGGCCAAGGAGTCTCTGGGGTAGTCTAACCCTGCACCCTGCCCCAAGCTGCAGACTCTGCGAGAAAAAAGAGGAAGTGCTAAAGGTCTGTTTTCGATCTGCACCCACTTCCCTTCCCCTCCAGCTGGCCTCCCTGCAGCTTTCTCCTGGCCTTGCACCCCAAATATCCAGTTCTCTTTTCCCACCCTTCCCTATTAGCTCTGCACTGTGATCTAGCCAGAGGGGGCCCCTCCCAGCAACTGGAAGTGACAGTGACCTCAGGCATGCCAGATCTGGGTGCATGCCTGTCTCCTCCATAAATGGTGATAATGTTCCTGGGGAGCAGGCCCTTCGGCCTTCCTTCCCGGAGGCGGAGGGCAAGGACCTCACTCAGACGACAGTGGCCTCTTGGACACGTAGAGAGGTCTCTGCACCAGCCAGGATTTGTGGAATTCATTCCTTCACTGAATTACCCTTGCCCAGGGCCTTCCAGCCAGCCTTGCCCTTTGGAGAGGGCAGGGGTAGAGGCAAGGCCTCACGTGCCCTCCTCTGGGCTGCGCGGACCTGGCCCTGCTACTCACCCACTGGGGTGACCTCTTGACTCTTTGGGACTCGGTCTCCCCAGCTGTGTAACAGGAGCCATAATGGCGCCACTTGTCAGGCATGCTTGTCATTGTGAAGTGCGTGGGTCCTCGCCTGGCACGGGGTGAGGGCTCACTAACAGCCTACACCAGGCACACCCAGGCCTCACGCAGGCCCCAGAGCCAGCACTGAGCCCAGGTAGGCATCCTGCCACTGGGGGTCATTCCCACTGCTGCCCAGCTTCCTCCTCTTCAAGAAAGGCTTCCACATTCCCCCTCCCCACTGGAGGGCTTCCTGGAGGCCAGGTCCAGACTTATGGCCTCTGGGGTACTTCGCAGTGCCCCGCCTTCCTCAGGCCAGAGCCCCCAAACTTTCAAGTCAGGCAGACTAGGAAAGACAAACAGCTCCGTACCAGACATCTGTCCTCAAACCTGGGGCGCACCCCAAAGCTGGCTCAGGAGGGCCAATCAACCCCCCCTTCCATGGCTGGAAGGAAGCCCACCCCCCTGGATCGTTCCAGTCTGGAGGAGACAGCGCCTTGTGGGGTGGTGGGTCAAGGGCCCCTGCGGCCCGCAGCGGAGGTCTGGTGCTCAGTTGCCCGCAGCACCAGCGCCACTGTCAGCCCTGCTGCCCTGGAGACGCCCCTCCAGGGAGGAACACCCTCCTCACTCAGAGGCCTGGCATTGATTCCAGATTTGTGAATATGAGCATCTTTTCAATTGGACCTTCAGGGCTTCTGACCATTCATTCAAGGTACACGGGAGGAGCGCAAGCTGCCAGCGAGCTCGTTTGGGGTGTTGGGGTACAGCGGGGACCGGGCAGAGTGCTGCCCTCCAGAGTGCTGGCATCCTAGCTGGGGAGGCAGGACCCCAGGCGAACGCTCGGACACTTATAACGTAACACAAGTGGTGATTAAGAAGGGCACAGCAGAACACCTCAGGGTCAGAGAGTGACCGGGTGTCGGGGTTGGCCAGGAGGGTCCTGGCAAGGTAGCCTGGAAGCAGGGACATGAGGACCAGAGGGACCTGCCTCTTCAAGACTGAGAAGCGGCCAGCAGAGAGGCCTGGGGTGGGGAAGGTGTTTTGGGCCGGGGACTGGCTTCAGACTCATTTCAAGTGTGGCGGTGAGGGGTGATGGGAGGGCTGGGCAGGGCCTCTGGGCCGGGTGGACAGTCCTGGCACGCCTGTAGGGCACAGGGAGGCTTCTGGCCTTGAGCCCTCTTCCCAGCTGCTGAGATTCCAGTCCTGCTGGGAAGGCCAGCCAACGCCCGGTTTATGGAGCCGAGAAACGCAAGCGCCTAGGTGCAAAACAGACGGGGACGACACCCCGCAGCGGGCCCCACCTGTCCTCTCTGCTCTCTGCCAACAGGGCAGCCCCAGACAAGGCTCCGTCTGACTTCCGCCTGCCCCTCCCGGCCCTTTCAGGTCACGCAAGCATCCCCCCGGGCAGCAGACGCCGGGCAGGGCAAGGAAGTGGCCGGTGACCCAGAGACTTTTTCAAAGGGGCCAGCAGGGCCCGGGAGAGTTCATCAGCACGCGGTGGCTGGGGTCTCCGCTGGCCCCTTAAAACACCAGCGTCACCTTCGCTGTTAACCGAAAGTGCAAGCGCGCGGAGCGAGGGGGGCGGTGGGGAGGGGCCGGGTAGAGCCCGCCTCCCGGATCCCCACCCCGCGCCCCCGGCAGGCGAGCGCTTCGCAGCCGCTCGCGTTACGGAGGTCACT